CCGATTTTTCTAGTCTTTTTCTTGCTCCTTCCCCTACTCTCCCCCGAATTTGGTCCCCTAAGATTTAGGACTACTAGTAGGGTGACCAGTCCTATTAGCTGAGTTTGCATTGAGCTGAGGGATTCTTGGAAGGAACGTGGGACTTTTAGTGTTGACACTGAGAAAGTCTTCTGAAAACGAGGACAAGTTGGTAACCCTAATCCCAGCGGTGCTCATCATGTGCCTCAGCACTCCAGGGCCTTCTGAATTAAAGAAGCAGCCAGGCAAAGTGTCAGCTTGTCTTGGCCTAGAAGCCCAGACCTGATAATTCAGAAGAAAAGGGAAGGGGTCAGTTCTGCTCTGAACTGTGTATAAAGGGACAAAACCCCCCATGTGTATTTCAACAATGCTCTTGGAAGAAATTCAGAAGTGGTTATTTTAGGTTAGGGTAAATTCAAAAAAATGACAGAGTCGGGAAAACATTATCCCAGGGGTCAAGGATGACTCGAGCTCTGCCTACTGAACTCCTCCTTGTCCCAGTCTTGCTAATCTTATCTTCAGGGAGAGTTTTCGTTAGAAAATACCATTAAGGGTAAAACGTGGTGGCTCACACATGTAGTCCTAGCTCTTTGGGAGGCCAAGGCAGGTGAATCCCCTGAGGCCAGGAGTTTGAGACCAGCCTGGCCAACATGGTGAAACCCTGTCTTTACTAAAAATATAAAACTTACTCCTGTGTGGTGGTGCACACTTTTAACACCAGCTAGTCAGGAGGCTGAGGCAGGAGAATCATTTGAATCCAGGAGGTGGAGGTTGCAGTGAACCGAGATCATATCACCGCACTCCAGCCTGTGTCTCAAAAACAAAAACCAAAACCAAAACAAAAATAGACTATTAACATTTTTTAGTTGTGAGAAGATATAAAAATTTCCATCTTAACCATTTTACGTATATAGTTCAGTCACGTCAAAGTACATTCACATTGTCATGCAACCATCACCACCATCCATCTTCAGAACCCTTTTCATCTTGCACAGTCTAAACCCTTTTCATCTTGCACAGTCTAAACCCTTTGCTCATTGAATAGCTCCCTATTCCCTCCCTCCCCACAGCCTCTGGCAGCCACCATCCTACTTTTTGTCTCTATGAATTTGACTGCTCTGGGTACCTCATATGACTGGTATCAGACAGTATTTGTCTTTTTGTGACTGGTTCCTGAGAAACACTTTTGAGATGACTGGTTGGAATTCGGAGCAGGTGACACCACAACTGACCCAGGCCTCTCATCTCCTTTTTCTCCTTTTTCCCTGTTCCACCAATACAACAGCTGTGGACACAAGGATCTCATCTCTGCGGTCCCTAACACAGTGGTTATCAACCTTGTTTACACATTAGAATCCCCTGGGAAAGTTTTCAAACGACTCTTGCCTGAACCAGATTCCAGGCTAATTACATCAGAATCTCAGGGAGTGAGGGCTTACGTATGCATCATTTAGAAAACACCCTAGACATCTCAAATTTGCAGCAGAAATTGCTGTCCATACCAAGTTGATGAGCTGAAAAGTAGAATAACAGTGGGTAAATCAAAAGAGTTTAAAATAGATGGTCTTTAAGGTCTTTTTATATTGTAAAATGTACAAAGTCATGTAGTATCTTTCTAATTCTCAACCAGCAGTGGTTGAGTGGATTCACCTACACCCGACGGGAGCTGGGCGGACAGTCTCTGGAGTGTTGCTCCCCCTGCAGTTCAGTTATATGTTACGACCACCCCACTTTAGAACCCTCTTAGTCACCCATGCAGGCGCTGGACATTGTCATTCCCCTATCACGTGCAGTCAACAAATACTTATTAAGATGGCTCACCTTTCCTTTAAAAACACGCAAGCCAAGAGATAATGATAATTGTGCTCATTCCATTGACTTCTAAAGACCGTGAGATTTCTAAATAATTTTAAGGCCGAATGAAGGACATTGCAGGAATATTGATTCCAGCTCCGTACAAGAAATAGTTTTCTGCAGTGAGAGTGGTTTAATAGAATGAGGAGCCTTGTGAAAGTGATTCCCTTGGTTCTAGTGCTACACACTTGTATTTGGAATATTGACTTTAATGAATGCCGGAGGATAAGATTCCCAAAGTAGAAGAAACTAGACTGACTTATGAGGCCCTTCTAACTCCAAAATGCCATGAGTTTAAAGCCAGATAGTAGAAGAACGACGTAAGATGCAAGAATGACTTCTGAACTGAGAAATGCAGCAGCTCCAGAGTTCTGATTATTTCAGCTTTCAACCACTTCCCAAAGACTGAATTATTAACTGTAAAATAGCCAAAAATGAACACAAGTGGATCTTGTTATCAAGAAAATTTATTATAGCAATAAGAATCAGAACTTCTAAAGAAGATTAATTAGGGGGTTGATTTTTTGCATTGCAGAATAATTCCTGACTTCATGAAATCATTTTTGGATATTAGAGTTCCTGTGAGCCTCTTAGTATGGATTTATAGGTCACCAGTCACTTAGCCAAAGTGCTTCGGAGAGTAAACTCTTAACTTTAAAGAACTAACCACGCTCTTTAGTGCTTATTTGGAAATAACAAACATCTGAGAAGTTTATTATTTCCTGATTGCCAAGGAAAACAATATAATTTCACAGCAGGTATTTAGACCCTCCATTAGAAAACACAAAACATCCAAAAATTCAATGCAGAAATAACTACAATTTCTTGAGTACTATAATATGTCAAAATGTCATGGTGTTTAATCCTCTCATAATCCTAGTAAAGCAATATATTATTATCTCAGCTTGGTCAAGTAATTTACTCAAGAGCACTAAATTACATAAAAACCAAATTTTTCTGATTCTTTCCCTTACACCAAATTCCCCAATCAGCATCTCTCAGAACAAACTTGCTCACAGACAGCTTGGAGACCATGTGTGTTTGGGTTAATTTTTGCCCTTATTATATTTTCGATATGTGTTTCCAATGTTTAAATGTTAGATTTTATGTAAAAGTCTGGATGTCCTAGCTGTCTTAAAGAATCAGAAGGTCTGGAAGCCCTGTCGCTGCAGTCCTGATGGTGACAGGCTGGCTGGGTCCTACCTCAGCAGGGGCTTAAGTGCTGCATATTGTGCTGGTTCTCACCTCTCTGTGTTCCATCCACCAAAGGAAAGCGAGTGTCATCTGGGATTTATCCTATTCCATCCAACCCTCATTGCTTACATTGTTATCTTCCTGGTACCTGTTGTCACTGCATTTGCAACCCCAAATAAAATCTCTCTTCCACTCTCCTTGCCCTAATTGAGATCCCAAATGCTCTGGTTCTGTATGTCTCCAACTCATTTTTACATTGTTCTCATAAAAGTAGTTGGGCTTAAGGAATATTGATCTTAAAGTTGTTCTGCACACAAGTAATTCTATTATATTGTTTTCTCACCTGTTGGGAAGTTTTTGCCTCTGCACTTAATAACCCATGTTTTTTTCATTTCTTCCCACTCCTGGGGGGCCAGGTTTGGTTTTGCTCGTGATGGTGGGGGAGGAAGAAATGCCTTCAAGTCATCTCTGGGATGACCATTGAGCTATGACCAGTAAGCTGGGACCACTGACCTGGTGGAATGGCCTTAGTGAGTAACAGACTGCAGTGATGTGTCAGCTTTCTTATGGCACAGGAACAACCAAATCTCTTATATTTCAGTGGCCTGGTTCCCAATAGACCCTGCAGGCCCTACAGGTCGTCTTCCCCAGCTGCCCCTTGCTTCACACCACTACCTTCCACTCCATAATATTATAGAAAGACACCTAGTCAGACAAAATGATATAACTTAATTTTATTAGGACAAGGTTGGTGGGCACTGGAGTGGCACCTTCCGGGGCCAGGACAGGCACTGGGGAGGGGTCACAGGATGCCACGCGGGCACCTAGAAGCCACAGCTGCCCTCCACAGTGCGGCACTGCACCATGCGCAGGAATGTCTCGACCATGTCCATGTCCTTCCTGAAGCAGTGGAGCAGCCCGTAGTTCTTGAGCAGTGTGTCATCGTTCTGTGAGTGTGTGTCAAACTTGCTGTAGGTCTGCTTGAAGATCTGCCCAGTCCGGGGGCTGCCGTCTTCCAGCCTCTGCAAAGTGAAGGAAGAGAAGGAGAGGCTGAGCGCTTGGTCACTGTTCCCTCCCTCCCTCTCTCATTCATTCATTTTCCTCCCTCCCCTTCAGGGTGTAGAGAAAGACCTGGAGGATTCACCAGGGGAAATGAAGACTAAGGTGAGTTCTCTTGGGTCAGGGCCTGACTGCTAAAAAGAGAGCAGCAGTGTTTCTCTCCCCC